TGTTTGTTTGTTTGTTTGTTTGTTTTGTTTGTTTGTTTGTTTGTTTGTTTGTTTGTTTGTTTGTTTGTTTGTTTGTTTGTTTGTTTGTTTGTTTGTTTGTTTGTTTGTTTGTTTGTTTGTTTGTTTGTTTGTTTGTTTGTTTGTTTGTTTGTTTGTTTGTTTGTTTGTTTGTTTGTTTGTTTGTTTGTTTGTTTGTTTGTTTGTTTGTTAACTTTGTTTGTTGTTTGAGTGTTAGGTTTTCGGCTTTTCGTATAACCAGCCTAGCTTAAACTTAATATTCTTGAGTTGGACGAAGGGCCTTTGAAGAAACGTCAAAGTTTTGTTAGCCTGCGCATATAGTCTGTGCGCACGCTAAAGTTTTGTACGCGGTACATGGAAACAAGTTCGAATTCGGGGCTCCTTTATAGGGATTTGCCTAATAGCATTTGGGTTACTGGAAGTGCAAATGACACAAAAATGGGAAAACCATATACCATAATAAGACAGTTCTAGTTGGACATTTCGGTGGAGTTTAAATAACTACAAGGACTTTTGATTGAGAGTTTGTCTAAAAATGTCCTGGAAGAGTTCTGCCTGTTACGGCTCGAGGTCATTTTTCTATTGCGAGTCAGTCAGTGATTTGCTTAGTATGTCTAGTATGCGACTTAAACAAGGATTCATAGACTTCAAACTCATTTTAGTGATTTTACTTCGTGAGTTATTTCCAAAACTGAGTCATTGAAAGCAGGAAATTATGTTTTAAAAGTCAACACACAGACGTTTATAGTTGAAAATTGGATCTAGACACACCCTCCCACCCCGTATTCAGACTCAGTTTATTAAAAAAAAAACACGACTACTTTATTTTTCCAAATGCATTGAATGGCTGCAGAAGTAAATATCTATAGACGGGAGAGGCTTTTATTTCAGTTTAAATCCGAAGTGTTTTAATTGAGTTACTTCTATAAACGGCTTCGAGTATTTCTGCGCGAGCCACCAAGCTATAAAGAGCTAGCCTAGAATGAAATGACAGGCGGAATTACGCAATCTTGTTTCCTTATTATGTGCAAAATTTCCAATTTTTTCATAAATGAAAAATTTGAAAAGTAATTTGGGAAATATAATTTGAAAAGCAGACACAGTAACACGCCCTTGTCCCCCTGAGGCTAATCAACCTCGTACCCCGGGTCTTATAAGAGCCTGGGTACGAGGTTGGAGGCTAATAAGTTTTCCTCGGGCTTTGCAATCTCGTTCCCAGAGTATGCCTGTTCGCGGGTTATGTAGTGTCATGCCACTACATAACCCGTGAACAGGCATACTCTGGGAACGAGATTGCGGGCTTTGTGGACTTTGTGAAAGCGAGGTCTGAACTTGACTTCCACTACTAATACCTCCCGCTGGCTTAGTACGAATCTGATTGGTTAATCGGATATATCCAATGCATCTGATTGGTTAATCGGATATATTCAATGCATCTGATTGGTTAATGGTCCATAATATGGTAGAGGTAGTGGAAGTCAAATCTGAACCTCTCTACTGAGTAACGGGGACGAAAAAATTAAGTCATTTGATAAAACTGGGGAAGTGCAATTATTATATATTTTTTTCTCAAGTAGTAAATTATTCGAGGGGGAAAGCATAAAAATAATTTATTCTTCATTTAAAATCCTCTTCTACCAAACACGACATTTCTTTACAGGATTCATTCTGCTGCCAGACGGGCATTTGAAGGCTTTTGAAAACGCCACTGAGTTGGAAAACGGACCAATTATTCTAAAAGGAAAAATACAAAAACGCAACTGATGAAATAGTTCGCGCTACTGGCTATTTTCATTATGGTCGAAGCGCGGTCAGGGTCAGGTAAAGGCATAATAATACGAGACGTTCACTGACCAAAATTGTTTATTTAGACGAGCTTTCGGCCACTAGACTGAGTCTGTAGTAACATATGTTAGTATATAAGCTTGCTATCCCGAGCCTGTCGAAGACCACAGTCTAGTGGCCGAATTAAACTCGTCTAAATAAATCATTTTGGTCAGTGAACATCTCGTATTATTATTTTCATTATATTAGTATTAGCGTTTTATATCTGATAAAACACGACAACGAGTGTTTTGAATAGCTTAAAATACGACTACAAAAGAATACTAATTCACCTATTCACCAATAGCGACGCCATCTTGAATTTCGCGTTCAATTAACGCAATGCATTATGGGTGATCCAGGGTAATGGAGCGTTTTTGAAGGGCTGTAAATCGAATATGTAGGCGAAAACACACGTTTTTATAGTTAAAAATAACAGACAATTTTTAGAAGAACTAGGAAAACACACAAAAGCTGGGAAAAATAAAAAAAATCAGGATAAAATCTATAGTTTAAATCTTTGTTAGGCCTAAAAAGGGAAATAATTTCACCAAAGTGCGCATAAAATTGATTTACACTGCCTCATTGTCATCAAGAAATTGTTTATAAAAAAAATTATCGTATTGTGTCTCAATACGACATTGAAGGCTTCTGAATTCGGATTTTTCATTTTTACCCTGGATAACCCATAATGCATCCTGATTCAAGATGGCGTCACTATTGGTGAATAAGTGAATTAGGATGAACCATAATATAATCATGCTAATTAAGATGAACAATTATATAATGCCACATGTGTTTTATCAGATATAAAGTCACTGCACGTGACATATTATGGCTGACATGATTTGCCACAAGGTTTATGAATTATTAATGAGTATTTTAATGTGAGATAGTATATATATACATGAACTCATAGTTTACTAATTAATTTCAGTCTTGAAATACCTGAACATTTTCAGCGTGTGTGGGTCAGTGTCGATCATATTGAGAGCAACTTTCTTACGGATGTTCGCACACCATAACTATCAATATAAAGAAAGGAATTAAATTAAATTAAAGTGAAGTTAGTTAGCAAAATAATTTTAAATGGCGCTCATGTTTACTAATTGTTGCCATGCACTTTCTAAACAACGTAGCTTTGAAAGCTTGCTTTTGTTGTTTTTTATTTTTATGCCAAAAAAGAATATAGAAAACAAATTTAAGATAATCTATACCTGGGCACCTTTCAAGAAGAACAGCTGGTCATGAGAAAAAGGAAGACCAGGCAACGTTTTCTCATTAGTACCATTGTTCTTTTTCCATTCTTTATATGCCTACAATGGCGGGGGAAATTTAGTTGTTTGGCTCCATAGTTTATTTGGACCTAGCCACTGCATGGGTATTTAGTGTAAACAATATCAACCAAACACAATACGTAAACAATATCTATACATAAACGATTTAGATATATAACTAAATATAATATATTCATGAACCTTATAACCTAGGAATTGTATGTACAATCCGGTATATGTCTTATTTCAAAGATAGTATGAAATAGAACATGCAAGCACTCATTTTTAAAACCTGATCCATGCGAATTAGATACATTACTATAGGCATCAGTGGGGACCCTTGGCGAAATATTGGGGGAGGGGGACGCGAACTAGGTTGTATGACCACTATTTGTTGTTTGAAATCTTTCAGAAATTATTGGGGGGGCGGTCCATTCCCCTGCCCCACCCAAGCATCAGGCACAGCCATGCATGAATGCTCACACATCGGAGGTAAGTTTCAAAAGAGTAAAATATCAATATATGGTAAACAAAACCTTATAAGCCAGTCGTATTCCGCCGTTGTCGGCAATATTTTCACCCAACGTCGTTACACCATTTATCTATTAAAAGGACAAACAAGGGATGCATCATTTATCTATTAAAAGACAAACAAATTGTCGCTGCATAATGGTATTTAATAAGGGATAAGAACTCGCCACCAACGTCCGCAGAATAGCTCATACAGGTAACGTTGGTGGACTAGATTTCTGAAGGCTGAGAGTTCACACCACCAGGCTTGCGTATAGGGTAGAGTTGGCGACTAAATTCCTGAAGGTTGAGAGTTAAAATTTTGTGTACTTACAAAGGATAAAAACTCATTACCAATCTCATTACCGATCTGTTGGCTTGATAGCTCAACTGACAAGTAGAATAGTGGACTAGCTAGAATTCTGAAGGTTGAGAGTTCCGATCTTTTGTGCTTATAAAGTATAAGAACTCACCACCACCAACCTCTGTATAGGTTTGATAGTTCAAATGGTATAGAGCAGTGATCTATGATATTTCTGATGATTGAGAATTCAAGTGTACTAGCTGTTACTTCACAAACAGCGATGGTTTAGAGGCAACATCGAAGGCAGCACTTACGTTCTTTCCAAAAACCGTGTAGTTCGAATACTGGCCACTCAGGCAGTGAGACTTCAACTTGAATGCATTTTTTGACGAGTTAGTCCACCAACCAATATAATTTCCATTCTTGTCGTAGTGCATTCCTTATGAACCAAAAGAAAAACAAAAAGGTGGATAATGGCTTCCATTAAAAGATTTGGTAGTTTATTTTGGGTTGGGTTAAGCATCACGAGGGCTGATAGTTAAATTAACTTTATTTAAAGTGGATAGCTGCATGCATCAATTCTAAGCTGTTCCCCAGCTTCCCCTAGAGTGGAAGTAAGCTTAGGTCGTCTCCTTTTGCTACAGTGTCTCTACAAGAGGAAACTTAAATTAAACTAAACTAAAGGTACGCTTACACGTACCTTTAGGCTTTAGGACCGATTTTTCTCGCTGTATGTAAATAACCTGTCGTGAGTACTCGCGTCAGCGCCTTGCGATTCACAAAATCGGGAGAAAAATCTGTAGCAAAACACAGATTTTTCTCACGATTCAACGATTTTTTTTCGTTGTAAAATTGTTGAAAACTTTTCGCACGCACAAAACTATAATATAAACAGACGAGAGAGTGGACAGCTTCAATTGAACGTTTAAATCGCTAAATGTCGAAGAAGGTGCAACGATTATTTACCAAAATCGGCCCGACAAATCGCAGCGTGTAAACGTAGCTTAAACTGAACTAATTTAGTTTTTTATACTGTATACATGTAGATACTGTTTGTAGTCAATTCTATATAAATCGTTTTCCTCAAAAGCCAATGTTCATTAAGGGCGTCTCTTGTACTTTCAGACACAAGCAAATATTTCTACAAGAAGAAACCTTCACCAACCAGACTTTTTTTAAACTAAAACTGTTCTTTACCAAAACCGCGGATTCTTCCTCTCGCCCAAAAACGCGTATCATGCATGTTTTTGTGTCAAAACATTCAGGAATGTGACTACAGTCCAAACCCCGTACGTTCACAGGTTTTAAAGTTTGGGAACAAGATTGCTACAGACTCACGCTTATATATTATTGCTAAATTACTTTTAAATTATTATTAGCTAATCTTGGCATAATGCGGCCAGTTAATCAGTCGATGTCGCCATTTCCAAGATGTCGATTTCACGACGTTAAGAATGTGCATGGTTGCATTCCTGCATGGATATTTTGATACAAAAACACGACACGTTTTTTCCGAGCGAGAGAAGGATCCACGGTTTTGGTAGGCCTAGTATGATGGATCATTGCGTATTTGCTTAGTTTGGCTATACGAGAGGAAACCAAATTCCGCACAAACCTAGCTGCAAACTGGAAACACTCTTTCTACATGCTACTGAGGTGAAATTTACTGTAAACCTCATCTTAACTCTATCCTTAGTGATTCTTACCCCTATATACCATAAATAATTTGTTACAAGTTCTTAGTTACACTCGCAAAAATCTCACATCTTTAATTGGCAAGTCTACCAACAAGCCGTCAACAAGTTGTGTTCGCGGTTCGCCGACTGCTTGTTCCAAGTTGTCAACAAGTATGGAACAAGCTGTTAACAACTTGTAACAAGCTTGATGGCATTATCAGACTTGTTGCAAGATTGTTCCAACAAGTCCGACACAATCATGACAAGTTCCAACAAGTCCGACACAATACTGTTACAACCTAGGAAGATGCAGGTCCAACAAGTCCGACACAATACTGTTACAACCTTGTGTCATCAGCCTTGTAACATTCCTGTTATATCTTGTTATGAATATGACTGCATCAGACTTGTTAGAAGAACCTTGTAACAAGTCTGATAATGCCACCAAGCTTCTTATACAAGACACAGCTTTGAAAATAGATTTGTAACAACTTGTTTGCAGACCTATACGTTTCTACATGTGTGCCGGCACTTGCATTTGTATTTTGCACTGACCTATATTTATACACTCAGTGAGCTCCATGATGATCTGGGGCGAGAACTCGAGTCCAAAAAGTCCATGCAAGATGGCGGAATTTGAAAAACTATAATATTTGGATGTCAGTTCTGGTCTTTTTCTGTTGCTTTTGTCCGCGAATTTTGACCTCAAGGTTTTATGAACTGATAACTTTAATTACCGTATCGGTCCAGGCAAAAAACTGGAATTAGCTATTATTAGAATTTCGGCCTTCATAGCTCTTTCCGCCGTCTTGGTTTCACTTTTCGATAGGCAGAATAACTGAAGTTCTTGTTCCAGACATATATGGAGCTCACTTTATTTATAATATATATAAGGACAAAATAAATATCTCACCATTGACATCGAATCCATGACTAATTTCATGCCCGACAACAAATCCCAAACCACCGTACTGGATCGACCTAAACAGTATATACAACAGTGACATTCAGAGCGCCAGAGATACTGTGCACTAATTTCAATTTCAGTTGCTGTTGCCTCTACTGTCCACACCCCCCCCCCCCCACATTTCAGGTGGGGGGGGTGTGGACAGTAGAGGTAACAGCAACTGCTTTTATCTTATTAGTTGATTTTATAATAATGTTATTATATGAATTATGACGCAAAATGGCGCTTATAATCTTGTGAATCAGAATTAACTGACATGGCCATTTCAACTGATGCATTTATTTCGGGTTATTTCAGCATATTAGTATTACTGCTCCCTTGGTGAAAACATCCTGAGAACGGCACTGACCAATTTTGCGGAATTTTCAGTTGATTGGACGTTTTATAACTTCATGTGCACTTCTTTTGATACCCCCTGCAGTATATAAAACCAAGGGGATTGCTGCATGCTTATAGCAAAGACAATTACTTACATCGGATAGGAGGCATGCCAAAATGGAGGCTGTAATATTCCTGCTGGAAACACTAAAGAAAAGAAGAAAAAGAGTGTCACGTATTTGTAATCCTCGTTAATAATTTCTGATAGAAACAGAAAGGAAATCATGACCACGAAAGATCATGACCACGAAAGAGCTTGTATATCTGATACACCTGCTGGTTTAGTGAGACTTGCATAAACTGTAAATTACTGATGATCATTTGCCTCATCATTCATCAAATATCATTAAGGAAGATTCGTCGTGCGAATGTAGTTTAATTTTTAAATGCACATGAGCACATGATAAGTGATTTCATTTAATGAAAGTTTACCTATCTTGTTAAATTCCTGGCTGTAATAGGCGTTGATTTGTTGTGGCGCCATAGACCATCTAGCAACGAAAACATTATCTTAATAAATTCTGTTTAAAACTGGTTATAAGTTATAACAATGTGCTACCGCCCACCAGTGGTATCAAGTAACGAAGTAAATATACTTCGTTACTGTACTTGAGTACTATTTTCGAGAAGTGAGCATGTAACAAAGTAAACTTTTTCTGGACTACTTTTACTTGGAACGAAGTCGTTTTAAGAAGTAACGTTTTACTTCGTTATTTTCATTTTGTTGCTCCGAAGTATTTCGTTACTTTCTAACTTTTGTTTAATTTTACGTGATTATTTCTGATTTATTTTAATTTTGGGATAGGTAATAGGACCTCTACATGCGTCTGGATTTCTTCTCTCTTCAACGGGGTCTGGAAAGTAGACCATGCCGTGAAATATTGTATATTATTAGGTGCACGCATATAATGCGTGTGCTGTTTTGTGTCTTTTGTATGTCAATCCATTGGAGAAGTCCCCCCCCCCCCCTACAGACAATAGTACTTTTACTTTTTACTTCAAGTAAAAGCATCGTCTAAATTCGCTACGATGAGTACGATCGACAGTACGATACTTCATATTTCCACTGCATTTACCTTTGTCGATCAGGTTTAACTTCTCTGGACGTCAAAGTGTTGTGAGAAATAATCAAGCGACGCAGTATTATGTTGTTCAGAAATTTCTCAGGATGAAAAGACATCTTGATATACAAAGAAAAAAATGTATAAAGCGATTGAGAAAGAATCTGGTGCTGCTAGAAAGAATCTGGTGCCGAAGGTGATGCTATCGGGCTGGTCGTTACCATTAGTTAAAATGAGTGAGGTGCCCCCCAAACAACTCATGATATTTACCCTGATATACATTACCATGGCAACACCTTAGTATTTATACATGAACTTGTGGTTAGAACTCGACAACTGGAATCTGTATCTCAGTTGGTTAGAGCGCTGCATCGGACAGAGGGTCTATACATGTAGTTGCCTTTTTCGCAATTGACAACTTGCATGTTAGACATATTTTTGATCTAGCCGATCTAGGCAAAAAAAAAGTAAATTCCCGTTAAGAACGTATTACCATTAGTAAACTTGCAAAATTTGGTTGCGAAATGTTGTAAAGCTTGGAAAATATAGCTTTGCAAAGTTTGCATATTTTCAGTATATTTGTATTACGTGCGGAAATTGTTACCATTTTTGAGCCGAAAATGGTAACAATTTCCGCTCGTAATACAAATATACTGAAAATATGAAAACTTTGCAAGGCTATATTTTCAAAGCTTTACAACATTTCGCAACCAAATTTTGCACTTTTACTAATTTCAGTATGTTCTTTTTAGCTGTGGTGTTTGATTCCCTTTTCTCTGCTTAGATTAAAATTTAGTCTAACATGCAAGTTGTCCATTGCTCCTGGCTAGGACCGTCTAATGAATATATAAAAACTCCGTTCACTCGACTTTTCCATCTCAAGCTCGTTATATTAATAATTCATGGTAAATTAGCCAACCATATTGCTTTATTTTGCTCACATGATAATTAACAATTATTGGATGAGGTTTTTGTGATATGCGGAATTATCAAGGTCGAGGTAGCGTTATCAGCCGAGCCGAAGGCGAGGCTGATAACGCTTACCGAGACCTTGATAATTTTGCATATCGCAAAAACCGAATTCAATAATTGTTTTATTATACATTTGAAGAATAATAAACATAGTATTTTAAATAATAAAACAATTATTGAATTCGGTTTTTGCGATATGCAAAATTATCAAGGTCTCGGTAAACGTTATATTCAATATGATTTCTGGCAAAGCTGTTCAAGTAAAACGTTTCTATAAACAAGTCACCGGAAGTCCAACAGTTAAATTAATTACAAATATAAAAGAAACATATTATCGTTAAGATGTTAACGTATTAAAATATTTACTTGTTAAAGTAAACATTACAATTATGAAATGTACATTCATTTGAAAATTGAAATGTACACTCATTTGAAATGTACACTCATTAAATTTCACGCAACCTAACACAAAATTCAGTTATCTGCTAGCAGATAACTGAGTTATCTGCTAGCAGATAACTGAATTTTGTGTAGGTTGCGTGATTGCGCGATTTAACTGTTAGCTCTTAGCCAATCAAATTGCTTTTACCAACTACAATGTATAATAATACTGGATACCTGATGAAGTATATTGATACAGTTCAGTTAAATTACTTATTATTAGCATGACAAAATTGCTGGATGCTGATTGGTTGAGAGGAGTACAATTATTTCATTAATTGTACTGCAGTACAATTAATGATTTTCCCAAAACAAATAAAATAGGTATTTTGAACACAAATGTGAAATGAAATTGCCCTTGAGGAACTAGATGAAAATACGAACAAAAGCACCAAATTTTGCTTTAACAAAAGAACTAAATTAAAATACGAACAAAAGTACCAAATTTTGGTTGAAAGTCTGGCAGGACTGGGCTTTGGCGAGAGAATATGATGTTGACGGAGAAGTATCCAATTTTGTCATATGCCGTAATAATAAACAAGTAATCATGCGATGTTACTCGTACAATTAAGGGAGTAATAGTACTCGTGATGTTTGGAAATTTGCCAAATTGGACTCGCCCCGGCGCGGCTCGTCCAATTTTGGCAAAATTTCCAAACATCACTCGTACTATTAACCCTAATTGTACTCGCCATCGCATGATTACCTATACTAATAGGCAATTCCCATTACAGACTAATTTTAAAATTAGGCAAGGACACTCAAATAAATCACCACAGTTAGAAAGAGCATACTAAAATTAGTAAAATTACAAAGTTTGGTTGCGAAATGTTGTAAAATGGCGAAAATATAGTCTTGCAAAGATCGCAAATTTTGTATACCGTTTTATATTGCTTGCGGAAATTCCTACCACATTTAGGCCGAAAATGTCGCACGCAAAACGCAATACAAAAGTATACAAAATTTGCAAACTTTGCAAGGCTATATTTTCCACATTTTACAACATTTCGCAACCAAATTTTGTAATTTTACTAATTTTAGTATGCTCTTTCTAGCTGTGGTGATTTAATTGCATCTCCTTGCCTAGTTTTAAAATTAGTCTATAATGGGAATTGTCTATTCAGTCCTTGGACTGGATCGAAATTAATTCACCTCACTTTAAGTAGTGATTTATTCGTATGAGATGTCATTGATTTAATTTTCATCCATGCTTAGGGCTAATGTAAGGATTTTGTACATAGTTGTACATGTAATATTTCAAATCCTCCGATTCGGACTGCATGGACTAGATTTCAAGTCCTCGCATTTTGATCCAGTCCTCGGCCATGCCTCGGGTTTGATCAAATTGCGCGGACTTGAAATCTAGTCCAGTCCCAACCATTGAACTATAAATAAACTGGAAGGCTAACTCAGGGGGGGGGGAATTGAAGCCAGTGCATTTTAGTTTTTCTGAGTTATGAGCAGAAATACTCAACACTGAACGTTGGGCTATATATCAAATTGAAGCTATTGAAAAACGCTATTTGGTGTAGAAATTTCTAGACTTTAGCTAAAAGGGAAATGTTGAAAAACTACAAACATAATTACCGATAATTTGCCGTTTTGAAGTTGTTTTTGTATTTTTTAAATATTTTTCTTTTCGCTGAAGTCTTGAAATTTCCACACCAAATAGAAATTTTCAATAGCTTCAATGGGGTCAAGTTTTTCTGCTCATAACTCAGAAAAACTATTTTGGCTTCATCAAATCATAGGCCTTCATCATAGCAGTTAGCCTTCCAGTTTATTTATAGTTCAATGGTCCCAACCTTGTACCCAGGGCCTTTGCGCGGTTTAGAGGCTCTGGTCTGAAATATTACATCTACAACATCCTTACATTGGCCCTAACCATGGATAAAACTTAAATCTTCAGTTTTATTTTCGGGGCATTTCTTGACGTCAGTTTGTTTTATCAAATAAGCTTTAATAAGATTAATTAAGCTTTTTGATCTAGATTTAATTTCTTGAAAAATATTGAAAAAGCAGGTAGTTGGAAAATTTGCTTTGAAGTACCGTAACCCAAAGTTTATTATTATTAATAAGCTAACTTTCTTATAATTTTATAGTATATTATTGGATTATCGCCAATGGGAGTGAACATATGATCACCAAACACAAGTTGAATGCATTTAGTGAACAATTTGGCCGTTCTGATACTGACTGCTTTTTCTTTAAAAGTTCACCACAAATAAAAGCTTTACTAAGAGCACCGAACTACTTAACTGAACTTATACTGTTATAGGCAATGCAATTAATGGCGCGAGCTACTACAGTATACGCAATATTCGAGGCTTGACTTACTCCTGCGTAGTAATATCTAACCAATGTTTCATTCAAAACAAATTTTGGAAATCCAATATTCTTCAAAATTGCTTTGGCCTAAAGAAAAATAAAACGTAAATCAGTACCGGTTTAAAGAAATCCTCAAACCATTACAATTTTGCGATCAACTCGTTGCCCCTTATTGAGCCTGCTACTGCAGCAGTATCACAAATGGAGGGATGTTAATTTTTTTGCCCGATAAGAAAGGCGTGGCTTAATTCCATCCTTCAATATTCACAAAATGCCTGTCGACGGGGGACTGGGGCGTCTCCAGATCATAAGATTTCCTGATCAAAAAGCAAGTTCCTATTAAAAAATCCTCTAAATTCATCAACTACAAAGTATCAATATTTAAATCTGCTACAAATTTTTGCTGCTGCAGGAACGATTAAATCGTCCGTTTACTTTCACTAACATTTGCCGAAATCCTATTGATTCGCCCTAAAATATGATCTGTTTAAAAATGTAGACTTTGCAACACAAGGTTGAAATACATCCATCACTTACATTCTCCCATTATAGATCACATTGACTACTTATACAAATAAATAACAACCTAGATCCTAGGACTCCATGGATTAAAATTTATTCAGTCCTGCGACTGAATCGAAATTAATTCACCTCACTTTAAGTAATGATTTAGTATGGGACGTCATTTCAAATCCTCCAATTCGGGCTGGACTAGATTTAGCTAGATTTCAAGTCCTCGCGGATTTGAAGTCTAGTCCAGTCCCCATAATCGGATTTGAAATATTGCATCCACTACCCACCGGGCACACGACGTTGTTTCAACGTTGAAATTTGGTAGAAAAAAGGTTGCGACGTCGACAACCTAATATCTACGATGCTCTGACGTTGTTTTACAAACATTGGTTCAACAGCAGCCAACAGACGTTGAATTAACGTTCATTCATGGTTAAATGTACGACGTCAATTTGTGAACCAATCTCAACGTTGTTTTAACGTGGATTCAACGTTGAATTATGGTTGACGAGATTGGCAACCTAATTTCAACGTTGTTTCAACGTCGAAACAGTAACGTCGATCCAATTTGCATAGTCAACCCTTTTTCAACGTCTATCCAACGTCTTTGCCCGCTGGGTATGCTCTTTAGTCGGAATTGGAACCACTGCACTTCTGTTATGAATTCATCTCACCTTTTCCTCTGCATTTTTTGTTGTATCTTTATCCATCCACGAAATATTTTCAAAATCCTTAATTAACTGTTGACGAATGTCTTCAATAATTTTCTCCGCCTAGAAAAGCCATGACAAAACTATAAAGATTGTATATAGCCTATATAGGATGATTTTCACCAATATCAAGGTGATTTGTACTAAGGTAGATTATATATTTTAGCTGATGTTCTCCAAGTGATATCCACATTCCACAACAGGGAAATACAAAACTACTTGATCATGGTTGGATTTGTACTTGGAAAGATAATATAGAATGAGTAATGTTTTCTTATAGATAAAGCCGAAATTTAACTTTTTCAGATAAAAGTTGCTCTTAATATTCCGGAACTCACTCTCATTTTACTGTGTTCATCAAAGGTCTCTTCCACAAATAGCTTTCCCACGGCCATTGAAAGAGCAGCGCTGGTGGAGGAGACGCATTCTCGCCATCTTGCTTTACGTTGTCGGTCCCCATACATCGCGACAACAAAGCGATGTCTTACTGTCTCGTAATCGGCACTGATGTCTCCCGTAAATTGGTAAGCAATGTTCCACATTAAGAAGTTTGCTTTGATCCTGAAGATTAAATAGACAAATAAGTTGTAGCCGATGAATAGATTATATAGATGCTGGATCATAGATGAACTATATAGATGATAGATTAATAGACTATAGATGATAGATAAAAAGTCTGTAGATGATAGATTAATAGATTATAGATGCTATAATAGATGAATAGACTATAGATGGTAGATGAATATAGACTATAGAAGATAGATGAGTAGACTATAGATGATAGATGAATAAACTATAGATGATGTGAGATAAATAAGACTATAGATGATAGATGAATAGAGTATAGATGATGATAGATGCATGACTATAGACGATAGATAAACAGACTATATAGAAGATAGATGAATAAACTATAGATGATAGATAACTAAGACTATAGATGATAGATCATAGATGAATAGACTATTAGATTATATAAATGATAGATAAATAGTCTATAGATGATAATTCTCATTAGACGGTGAACGTTAAAAAATACATTATACATACGATTTTGGCGTTAATTTAAGAATGCGTGTTATTTTCTTCAGTACATTCAGTCTAAATATCGCGATCATTTCATTCCCTGTGATGGGTTTCTTTTGCTTGACATTGAAATATAATTTATGAATGTACAGCTTCCACGGAAACTAGAAGAAATAAACGGGTAACAGTTTAGACCTCATATACCTCCATGCAGTATATATAGATACAGTAACTTGGTTTCGTACAAGGTTCGTCCTGCAGTAATACTGGAGCATTACTGGGCCTCAAAGAAGAACAGTTTAAACTGTAAAGTTATATCCTATCAATATAGTGTTAGTTTAGCTTGGATTTCCTCTTGTACAATGGCAGGGCTACCCATAACAACAGATCAACAACAAATTACTCAATAACTGAATCGTACCGAATAACTCAATCTTACCCATGGAATTTCTCTCTGCAGCCGATTCAAAGACATTATGTGGTAGGTCGTCTTCTTTTTGCTATATAACACCTAGGAAATACGAAAGTGGGCAACCAATTAGGGAAATGGAAAAGGTGGCATGTTGATTGAACTACAAAGTTGTCTTTTGTATTCGAACATTGAAGTATTGTAAATACTCTTTACTAAAGTAACGCGTTACTAATTACTAATTACTTTTCGAGTAATTTTTCAGTATATAATTAAGTACTTGTATAGTTAGTTGTTGATAAAGTAATTGATTATTTTTCTAAAGTAATGAGTAACATTTTAAAGAAAGTAATTTGCGTTACTTTGATCAGTGTGTTATATAATCGTTTCATACTTTACCATATTATATGGTTATACAAATCAATGGACAATTTAAGAAAGTTTCAAAAATCACTGTGCCGCGGTGCATGAAGCAATTTTACAATATTAATGGTTGAATAAAGCACTATCCAGTGCATAGGCTATCCGGCCTTTCGTACCACCTGCCCCTGATTCTTATTTTCTTCGACACTTCTTATTAAACGAGCAATGAAAAACAGCAGAATGGATAATGTTTTATGCCTTGCCAAATTAAGAAGCCACAGGATTGCAACGTCAAATCACTCCTGATGAAGACACTAGACTGGAGTGTCGAAACGTTGGGTCTTGATTACAATTCGACTGGGCTTTGTAATCATTTATTTAACTCACCAGAGTAGCGAGCAAAACATGACAAAATGAAACAGTTGCTAAAAAATTTGAACTAACATACCCTGGCGATGTAATATTCCAATTTAAAAATATTAGCAATCTGATTACGAAATGAATACACTGAATTAATTCGATCCATTCCAAAAGATCGTCGTAACTTTATAATGAGGTGGATCATCAATTTGATGTAGGCATAACGAACCTAGAGAAAGAACAAAATATGCGTTCAAGTTTTGCTGACACATATACCATCTCGTTTAGCGTAGCTGGAAACATGTATACAGGGCCGTTCCTAGACGCGATAATTGGGGGGAAATTCATGTTCACATACCGTAAAAACAATCGCTTTCAAAAGAAATCTGTCGGGCAGAACACGAATATATGAATATACACCCCCTCCCAATTATCACGCTAGGAACGGCCCTGCATGTAAACATTATATTGTACTATCTTCTTCTTCTTCTTCACTGCTTTAGACTTTATTAGGCAGCTTAAGCAAGCGACGTCAGCTTTGTCAACACGAACGTCAGATTGCCGATGGGGAGGACTTGATTAAAAAGTGTCCAGTGGATCCAGTAATAGCAATGTTCAATGTTATTATCGTTAGTTTGAAACTTAAAGTACACCTAACCTCAATTCTTCTAATATCTCATTCCTAAGAAGCTTTCAAATGATATTGTAACTTATTTTGAAGATTTTCGTTTGCACACTTTGTGTCGGAGTTATTCCAGTTTTATTGATATGCAAATGTCCGGAATTAACGTCACATATAAATAATGACTGATCAAAGAATGTAAGGTACAGTTAAATATCATGAAATAAAAAGGCTAAATGGTGTTTTACATAGGTATATGTAATCCTCCCACAACTCCAAACTTCTTCATTTTAATAAATTAAACTCGACAGTGAATACGATAGCCTAAGATGTGAACTTTTTATCGCTTCTCAACGCCTGCGCAATGCAGGTTTGTCAAGAGCAAGGAAACTCTTACAACTATGGGTATGTTTAAAAAAAAATTGAAAAAACTGTTTCTCTCTTACGTCTTTGTAATAAGTTCCTTTCCCAAAGTAAAAATTTGGAGATCCCAACAGCGTTTTCGAAGGACTAAACTGTAAAGAAAAAGACATTTAAAATAACGACGACAACAACATAAACAAAAATAAAAACAAAAAAGCAAAAACAACGACAACGACAACGACAACGACAACGGCAGCGACAACGACAGCGACAACGACAGCGACAGCGACAACGACAACGACAACAAGTTTGTTACCGTCAATAAGACTCTGGAACTATTAAGAAGATCGTTTCTCGGTGTCACAAGGAAAAACGGATGAATAGCTAAACGATTCAGTAGAACTACATGATCCACGAACATCCAGCCAAACGGAAACCAGGTGAACGGAGTGATAACTGAAGATGAACCAAGTTCCAAGATAAGTCCAAGTAGAGGTTTATCACCGCTCTGCTTTCGTTCTGTTTCGTTCAGACATGAGGAATACCAAGAGTATATGAGAGCTGCTGATGAATTTTCTGAAATGTAAAGTTGAAACGGAAGATAAATAGTTGAATGATGAATTAAAGGATGAACGATTATAAATAGAGGTAAATAGTTAGACTTTAGATGATAGATGAATATATAGGTGAATATAGACTATAGATGATAGATGAATAAACTATAGATAATAGATGAATAGACGATAGATGTTAGATGAAAAGACTATAGATGACTGATCTGAATAGACAAGAGATAATAGATGAATAGACAAAAGAGGATAGATGAATAGACTATATATAGATGATAGATGAATAGAATACTATAGATGATAAATGAATATAGACTATAGATGTAGATGAATACACTATATAGATGATAGATGAACGTATAAACTATATAGATGATAGATGACTGAATAGACTATATAGATGATAGATGAGTATAAATCGACTATAGATGCATGATAGATAAACAGACTAATAGACTATACTGATAAGTGATCAAATGCACGATAGACTATAAAAGATAAAATATAAGTTTAACACTGTGAATGACGGATAAATAGAGGAGGATAATAAAAATATAGCAATAATTAAATTGCATGTATTGACAGTATAATAGTAGGTAAGAAGATCATTAAAGAATACACTTTAGAATAGACTATACAATAGTTGTTATATATATAGTACAAAAAGCTATAATATAGTGGTACAACATAAATATCAGATATAACCATAGAGTCTACCTGAACTATTAGCTTGGCGCTCAATGACATCCTTCAACAGTGTTTCTTCGTGATGCCAAAGTTTCATAAATTGTGTCCACTGAGATTGAGACTTCGGGATAGGATTGCGGGAACGCCATCCACCGCATGCGAATTGATCAAAATCTTGACAAGGATCAGCTGACGTGTCGAGACCGTTTTTTATTTCAGCTGCCGCATTGTGGCAGTCGTTCGTTTCACAGATCTTGTTGTCTTGATAGCCTAAAAGATGTGAGGAAATGTATACAGTTGGCTGGGTTTTATATCGCTAATATAATATGCATGAAAAAATTACTCAAGTCAGATTGGCTAAGAGCATGTGCTATTGTATCGATACAGTACCAAAAAGGAGAAATAAGTAATTGAGTATGGCTAGTATATGGTTATTTGCGCAGTGTGCCGATTACATGAAGCATTTTCAACATCGGGGTTGAACTCAGCCCTGTTTACCGGGTTTAATTTTTTTGCGATTACATGGACGATTTCAACCCCGGGATTGAAACGCTGTACTATACGTTCTCGGCGTTGATCAGTCCCGGAAGTAAAAAAGCCTTCATTTTGTTTTCTTGTAATAAATGGTCACTACCACGTATGCTCGAATAACTCGTAATAATTTCAGCCCTGACTTGAAACGATTACATGACAAAATTGAGTTCAACCCCGGGGTTGAAATTTCAACCCAGCCGCCGCTGAAGCAGGGTTGAAATTTCAACCCCGGAGCTTAACTTGGCCCTGGGTTGAAAATTTTGTCATGTAATCGCGCGTTTGATTTTGATAGAGTTTTGTATTACAGACACGCAGGGCTGAAATTTCAACACGGTAAACAAGGCCGAGTTCAACACCGGGGTTGAACATGCTCCATGTAATCGGCCACTTATAATTGGGGTTTTTCAAACTTTTAAGTTGGACACGTTCTTCGGACTTGTACAATTTTTTGAATGCTGGATTTGGTGGATAATTATAGTCAGATAGTAAGTATGGATTTACCGTTGCTGGACTCGTCGTAACTTCTTAAATACCAATTTGAGTATCCTCGTTCATAATCACGATAACTTTCGTTTTCTTCAAATGTTCCTAAAAAAGTAAAAGTTACTATAAAGGCTTTGGACTAAATCTCACGTGAACTGAGCCGGAGAACACTGCATCAATATTGCAAGAACCAAACCTAAGTCGTAGATCAAAGTGAAAGTCTCACTGCACATGCATGCATCGGCATGCACAAAATATATTTAAAATCGTGAAGTTATAGACAACGAACACGAGGGGGAAATGTAAATATACTAAGTATTATTGTATAACAGAACGTTTTATATATATTTCAAAAACTCATTAATAATTCATGAAGCAATAATCCAATCTTGAGTAAGAAATTAGTCACGTGCATACGTCTTTATACCAGCTAAAGAACACTTTATTATGCAATAATACAAAAGACGATTGTTATGCAAACTATATAAAGATTTTTATATAAGGATTTTTCATATCTGAAATGCTTATTATGCAAACGTTTTTGAAGCCATTTAAAAAACTCACAGGTCGTGTTTTATTAGGTCTAAAGCCACTCGCGCTGCGCGCTCGTGGCTTTAAACCTAATAAAACACTCCTGCTCGTTTTTTTAAATAGTACATATAGATATGATTCTTGACCATAGATAAATTGTAAATAGTTATATAAATGTTATCAAGTTTTATTGTATATTCCAAAAACTCATTAATAATTCAGAAGGAAAAGATGAAGGAATTAAATTACTACTGTGTCGAAATCATGTTAAATTATATAAACTTTGCCTTTTATTTTCTCGGCTTAGTCAATGTTAATTTTTAAAATTACTTCGCCAATGAACTCATAAGATGGATTGTTTTTTAGGTCGCCATTTAAAACAATAGGAGTCTGCATGTGCTTTATCAGATATAAAACACTTGACTGTTGCCTCGTGTTTATATCTGATAAAGCGATCCTGCATGCTCATGTTTTAAATATTACACACAGATTTCTCACTGATGTAATTTAACCTAATTGGTAACAAAATCAGTTTAAATTAAGAGGCAATTTTTTTCAATGTCACGTATTTGCAATGAAAAGTGTTCAAAACCTAAAATCTTTTTGGCGTCCCTCTCAAAATTACTTTGTTTTAGCTTTATTCTCTAGTTTATAGAGTTAGCTACCTTTTTAAATGCATCTGTCGGTTGAGAAACATAAAATAATAGTTAAAAATTGTCAATTAAAATACAATTATCAATGATGCTTTAAAAGTGACGCCATGCATATTTACAGCCATATAAGCAAAACTTACTGAGCTTCAGACATCATTTTCTCTTTGGCGTATCGTCTAATAAAATCTCTTCATTTTAGCATTATTTTACAGATAAAGCACTAAACATACTTTTTAAGTTTGTTTGTCGATTGAGAAACGTATCGAGAAATAAAATTTTGAATTTAGTCATAACCTCAAGTGGTATTTATACGCATCAGTTTTGAGCGCGTGTTACGTAACATACGAAAAAATCTCCTCTTAATAAGTTCAAATTCAAATCATTCAAAAACACAATGCCAGTAACATCGAACGTATCGATATCCATGTGTCTGACGGTAAATTAAACAATTCTTAAGTTCATACCGTAGTCTATGTCATCATCATCATTTTCTTGCCGATTGTCTTCAAACACACGCTTGGCTTTGATAACAGATTCGGGATCGTCAATATCATATTTATGGAGAATTGATGGCACGCCAATATTGTAGGGATAGCCTAGGCGTAAGGAAACATGGAACAGATAAATGATAAAAATTATTAACACACATTTACACGATACGACTATAGTCGTATACCATTCGTATTCTAGCGCAAGTATTCTATGTATTCTTTTATAGACTGTGTTTTTCTATAAAAGTGTGTTAGTTTAAGACGTGTGTTTTGGAAAGGTGTGTTTGTTGGTCAAATGTGTTTCTCCTGTGCACTTTGTTTTCCTAGCAAAGTGCGTTTATCTTTAAATTTGGGTTAATAAACACAGTTTTCGTAGGACGGGTGTGCTAACTAAGGGACCAGTCATAAAGTAACTGCTAGGGTGGGCTAGAGTGATTTGGGATGGGCCATGGAAAATCTGTGGGCAGTTTCGATGGGCCGCCAAGTTTTTGGTATGTCCATGGTTGGGCCACCAAACTGACAAAAATCCATGTTAATTAATAATTATATATTACATGAAGATATTAATAATAAAAGAAAACAAAACTATCCCAATTATCAAATGCAAATGATGCTATTGAAGCCAGTACTTTGTTTTATACAACAAGAAGAAGTGGTCGAATCACAGCAAATACAACCAACTGGAGAGCAGTTCAGTATCGTAATTGGTAATGAATGTGTTGGTCAAGCTTGGTGGGATTATGTATGTCAATGCAGTCTCGAATACAGAGCCGGTGTATATTTACAATGTTCATATACCTGCAAGTGTTTTTTATTATAAAATTGTATTTTTCCAATTTAGATTGGGTGGATGGGTCATGAAATAAATTTGGTAAGATTAGATGGGCTTTGAAATTTTTATGTACATCCTATAAGATGGGTCACCAAACTTATTGGCAAAATTTGTGATTTACCTCCAGCCCACCCTAGCAGTTACTTTATGACCAGTCCCTAACACGGTAGAATTGAAAAGGTGTTTTTCTTAAAGGGTGTTATCTAACACATTCACCTCCATCGCTGCATGCATGTGTTATGTAATCACTGCACACTGTGTGTTATATAACTCACAAAGGTGTGTTTACGTTGAAAATCGTAAGAGTAAAATGTCTTGTATAACACACCTAATGTGCCATATAACACGTTTTTGTGTGTACATGTTTTGCAGCACACCTGTTTTGAAGAGTCGTATATAAAGATGTGAAATTTAACCATAAACTGATGAAAAGAAATTGTGCGTCAGCAGTCATTTTCATACGCCAGAATGACAATCCCATGGATACGACTACTCGTATCGTCAGTGTAAATGGGTTCTTAGATGATGTTCTGTAAGTAGAGGGTCTATTATAGGGGGGTCGGTCGTTCCGCAAACCGTCGTATTTTTATAGAGCTTTCTTATTTACCCCAACCTCAACATTGGTCAAAATAATGTTTACCCAACCCATGTGTTACTGTACTTCATAATAATTAAACACACAAGATTATGGTGACAGAAATCAAGTTGCCTAAATTCTAAAAACTCACTCACACTCAAACTCACTGAGTTTGGTCAAAGCAACCACGTTCCTGCTGATCAATTATTAATGACAGAGTCCTAATTCCTCAATCACTGATGGTCTGTTTTGGTACAGAATGTATTGTACACATTTTTCTATTCATATTTTCCAATGCATGCATGGTAATTTTGGTTTTATTCTATAGCTGACAAACAGCCATAATTTTTTTTACCCAACCCATGAGCTAGTCAAAAACTTGATTACCCATGCAACCCATATCTCTTCGGTACAAAACCCGGGTATAAATAATGAACGGTCCCTTAGATTTAGTGAATTTTGTAAAAGCAGCCAATCTTCAAATGGAGCTTATATGTAATATAGTCTATGCTCAACGATTTTTCATCACCGAATGACAACTTCTTCATCGTAAACCGCCACGAAAATTGAGATGTATCCGAAAACCGCCCTCTCAAATGCGCCAAAACCGCCTATATGTATGCGCCAAACTATAGACCCCCAAGCATCAGCAATGTCCACACCAGGCATGCAAGTAGAAAACTGCTTGATCATGGTGGTATCAGATACCGTATTGTGAGTATAGAGTTGATTCAAACTGATTCAAGCTACTACCGTTTGTTGACAATACAGTCGGTTGAGTTTTCGCTACTGTGAACTGAAGTGTACATATATAGTGACATTGCATGAATGCTGTGACATGCGACTTGACAATTTGCCTGCTGCACTTGATCTTAAGATTTTTAACACAGGTGAAAAAATTAACTTCAAAAACATACGAAATCCCAAGTGATGATTCATAAGGCACATATATGCATGGATCATAATGTTTAAAGGTTTTTCTCTGACTTGGCTAATTTGGTTTTAGTGTGTTTTGATATTTTTGTTAGTAAATTTTTATCATGGTATTCAAGTTAGATTTTGATAAAAGTCGTAAAAAAGCGTGCGGTGGGAATTGTATTCAAGGAAGATTAGTATATTGGACGATGTTTTCCAAGTGACGTCCAGTACTATACCAGACAAGTATAGAAAATTGCTTGATCACGGTGGGATTTGTAATCACGTAGATTATATATATTGGATGATGATCTCCAAGTGACGTCCACATACCAGACAAGTATAGAAAAATGCTTAATCACGGTGGGATTTGTATTCAGGTAGATTAAATATATTGGATGATGATCTCCAAGTGACTTCCACACCAGAAAAGCAGAAAACTATACTTGAACATATATAGTGGAATTTTTATTCATGTTCATACCAAAGAATCACTCCGCGCGGAGTCACAACTCAATCAGCCAACCGAGATAATATTGATAGAGTTCTCAATACAAACGTTAGTATCATGCATTACTCTGTTTAACAGTACACAAGTCAAGGTTTCTCTTTCGGAGGTGAATTCCGTCGGTGCATGAAGCAAGTTCAGTTTCCCCATTAACTGTGATTTCACAGCTTTCACTGCATGTTTGGCCGCAGCTGTTGTTACCATAGGGTTCTCAGTATATGAACCAAAACTGCGCTAAAGCTTCTTGTTGAAGACTATCTCGCGTGTTTTCCATGGATTTCCTCATTCTTTACTGTAGACTTCCTCTGCCTGGTATAGAACCTCTGGATGTGTCGATCTTGCCTTTTGGAGCGTACATACTGTCACAATGCTGTACAGTATCTGCTATAGCGTTTACATGATCGCAACGACCAACTTTTCGTCAATATATAGTTAGATTAAATATTTACTAATATGGATGTCCAAATCTGACACGTATTTTAATTTAATAGTCTCAGGGTTATATAGGAACTGAAATTATTAAAGAAGTATACATTATGACAATGATACTACTGAATAGTTTGATTCGTAAACACTGAACATTGAATTTTATACATGTATTCAGTGATATGTGAAAAATCAGCCAAATACTGTATTGTGAGCATAGAGTTGATTCAAGCTGGTTCAAGCTACCGTTTGTTGACAATACAGTCGGTTGAGTTTTCAGTATGAAAGTATACATAGTCACAATGAATGCTGTGACATGCGATTTGACAATTCGCTGGCCGCACTTGATCTTAATATAAGATTCTTTAGTATAGTGTACATTACCAAGTCGACACTATATAGCACTTAAATGTAAACAGAACACAATAACTTACCATGGTTAAGACGATCATCGTCGCTATATAATGAACAGCTTACATTCCAACATATGAGAACGAGTAAAAAAAACTGCCCAAATCGCATGGTTATCTGGCCACCAATTCTCGCCAACCACTCGCGTTTAAATAACCAAACACCTCTTGTAGTTTAAAATACGGTTAGTGAAACATTACTATACGAGAAATCTAGTCATTTCTCCTTGTAGAACAATAAACAACCTACGACATTCAGCTTTTAAGTCTCACAGACAATATTTGGATTGATTAATTTATGCGTATATCTGTAGTGTTCTGACGATTAGCAAATCATTCACCCATGCATGAAATACAACCCACATTCATCTGCCATAAAGGAATTTTATTTTGTTATTAAATAAACTTTATAAACTAGAGAATATACTTGTAACTACACATTTCATGGCTCGGGATTCAAAATTCTGCTGGGTTGTTCAGCTTTCCTGCATTCCCCGAAACTTATTTCATCTTTTTACAAAATGTGATTATGACAATATGCAGTCGCCATTTAAATTGCCGGCTTCGGGTCGAAATTTTTTCCCCAAAAGAATTTGCTACGGTTCTCGCGAGTAAATTGTAAAAAAATTGTCAATATAAGCTTAAAAAGCACGTTAAATTTAGAACAAACAAGTATATAAGATTCAACAATAATAAAATAATCATAAAAACGTCTATATTTCCTTTGTCCTGCAAAGTTAAAGAGCTTCTATATTATATAGTCTACCCACACAATTGTCAAAAGACAAAACCCTTTAAAAGGCAAAAGCGAGTTTTTAATGGCATTAATAAATAAGCGTCGCGTTGTTTAGGATGTTTTCCAGAGATAAAAAGATTTTTACGGACTATATATAAGTTATTTAATTTAATAAGATTATGAGTTAATGAAAATTACGTAAAGCCTACAGCTCTTTATGTATTAGTTGTATTCAAAATAGATTTGGAAAGTTGCTAGGCAATTTTTACTTTAACAAAAAGAATCCTGTACTTTAAAAGCCATCTGTATATTTATTGCAAAAGATGTTAAGTGTACAAATCTAGTCTATTAAGTTAACTATACAGAGTATATTTAGTCAGTTTTCTGCAGTGAGCAAATATTTTCATTATTACTATTTTGATCAACTAGCTGATTAGCATACAGGACGCGTGTGCGGATTAATTTTTGATCTAGTGATCTATTTTTAGTCTGTTTTTGAGTTTTCTTCTGCAAGGCCGATTTTTTTATTAATATTTATTTTCAGGAAACTTTCTCACAATGTGATTTTCACGAAGTTCCTAAAGTATAAATAAACAAATTTTCATGCAAGGATGACATACATACACCACATAACTATGAGAAATATTTAAAAATTATGCGATAGAAAGTTCAAAGATGTAGAAATGTCCTAAATGTAGAAATACTACCAAAGAGTTTTATCTTTCTGTCCAATTATTTACACCACACATGCAATTTTTGCCTAAAACTGTCGCATACAATTAACCTGCTTACAATTTGATTGTACTGGGTAAATCAAGCACATAACTCGCCTACGATTTACACAGTACAACTCAAGTTGTAAGCAGGTTGCATTCGACAGTTTTAGGCAACAATAACGGATGGCTTCCCAGCGGGCAAAATGGCGCTTATCCAACGTTGAATCAACGTCGGAAATGACCTTCCAGACGTTGGATAGACGTTGAAAAAGGGTTGACTATGCAAATTGGATCGACGTTACTGTTTCGACGTTGAAACAACGTTGAAATTAGGTTGCCAATCTCGTCAACCATAATTCAAAGTTGAATCCACATTAAAACAACGTTGAGATTGGTTCACAAATCGACGTCGTACATTTAACCATGAATGAACGTTAATTCAACGTCTGTTGGCTGCTGTTGAACCAATGTTTGTAAAACAACGTCAGGGCAACGTAGATATTAGTGAGTTTAAGCAAGTGACGTTTTTGACAACACGGACGTCGACCGGAAGTAAAGTTGACGTTTTTCACCAATCACAGTCCTTGACCCAGTCTTCTGACGTTGCTCATGCCGTCCGTGTTGTCAAAAACGTCACTTGCTTAAGCTCACTATTAGGTTGTCGACGTCGCAACCTTTTTTCTTCCAAATTTCAACGTTGAAACAACGTCGTGTGCCCGGTGGGTTTACTCAGGACTCTTAAAAAGTACAGTTCAGAAATGATAGTCTTGATAGAACTTCAATTCAACATGCATAGAGTTGGTTTAGTTTATTGCCTTTGCACCGGCCTGTATGCTTTATACGCTTATTATTATTCTATGCAACGGTCCACTTTTAACACGAGTGAAAAAATTAACTTCAAAAACATATGAAATCCCAAGTGATGATTCACAAGGCACATATGGATCATAATGTTTAAGGGTTCTCTCTGAGATGATTAATCAGAGTGTTGACCATTTTGGTATAACTTAGCCAATTTGGCTTTATGTGTCAAAATGTTAGATTTTGATAAAGTCGTAAAAAAGCGTGCGGTATGGCATGTTTTATAGAACCCGGGCTATTGTTTGCATGATCGTTTACTCGCCGGCGATATATTTCAAAGCAGGTAACGGAACAGGTTGTATATTATATGAAAACAAAATCAAAGTCTTCTCTGCCTGACTTTAAACGAAGCTCTCATTATCTACCCATTTACAAAGCGCTCTGCGAATAAAATTAACAAGGAAATACATAAAAAATACACGTTGTTTTAAATGGGGAACATAAATTTTCGCGAAAGGAAGTTATTTTCGCTCTTTTCTTCGACGTTCGTAGCGCTTTTGACTGTTGTTTTGTTGTTTCGTCAATTTTATATTATTGATGGCGACGTGTTCACGGCGCTCAGTCATTGGAAAACGTTAATTCGAATGGAAAACGATTTCGTAAAGCATTTGGAGGCGTTTGTTACAGCGAATAATGAAGATTTTCCGAGGATGATTGATTTGAAGACTTTCCTTCACGATGTTAAACCGCGGGCTTTGGAGGCGGCTGAAGCGCATGACAAATTCGTTTCTCATCCGGTGAATGGAGTTTTGATGATTAAAAGGTTTACGTCGGATTGGTTGGAAATTGAAGAGATTGTGAAGAATAGTAGTGGGGGATCAGGTAGGTGGGATTTACAATAGAGGGAGGTAGAAAGCAGGAGATAAAAGAGGCTGGGAAGGGAGGGAGAATATAAGAGGGCCACTGGGTCACAATGATCAAAGACTCACCTCGGATTGTTTGGAAATTAATGAGATTGTGAAGAATTAGTAGTGGAGAGTCGAGTAGGTGGGTGAGGAAGGGTGGTGGGAAATAGGAGGGAAGAAGGTTTACAGTTTTGCAATGATCAATCTGGTTATTTCGCTTTGGCAATAGACTGATAGATTTAGAAACCAAGATCACTTTATTTATACTGGATAGCTCTATCAGTTCCAAACTGTTTTTTCTAGAGGTCCACTGAGAATTACCTCTTTTTGAACAGTACTAGTCTAACTATACAAAATATAATTAAACTAATAAACTAACTCAATCTATATACACTACTTTGTCTTCACTGTTTTCCCTAAGAATCCAATTTGATCCATCTGGTATTGTTGTTGCGATCACCCAGTCACAATTTGTGATGTTAATATTGAATTATTGTTGTTTGTCATGTAATATTAATAAGCTTATAAAATAACATAAAATAAAATAATGAAATGAAAATATTTCCGGGGAAAATCTAAACTTAACCAACTTTAAGCATACTGGAATTATGTTTTTTTAGTTTTATAATGTTTTAATTGTTTTTCTCCTAGACGTCCAGCAAGTGTTTTCCCTTTTAATCCAATGTTACTACAGGAGAAACTGCACGTAAAAATCGCACATCTTGTCAACAAGATGTGTTCGCACTGCTTGTCCCCAGTTGTTGAAAAGAAGTTGCTATTATCTTGTAATAAAGTTGATGAGGCCAATAGACTCGCAACAAGTTGTTTCAACAAGTCTAGTAGCGTCTGCACCTAAAGTATAAGAATTTGTTAACAGGTTGATGACAACAAGCTCGTACGCGTGGCATATTGTTACAAACAGCCTGCATTAGTTTTGTTTGGACAACTTGTAACAAGTCTGCTACTGTCATCAACCTTGCAACAAGGTAATGACGACTTGTTCAAGACTTATCACAACAACTGGGAACAAGCAGTGCGAACACATCCTGATATCGGCTAGACAACAACCTTGTTACAACTTGTTTGCAGATCTACAATAGCTCGTGCGTATCTTAACTCATTCATTTCTAGAGCTCAGCAAGAGTATAGACCTCCACAAGCCTCTCTTTCCCGAGTACGAAGATTTGGTTGGTGCAGTTGAAGGACTGTTTCGGCTACAAGAAATTTATCATCTACCAGCACGAGACATTGTCGATGGTAATCTTTCCCCGAACTATCCTCGCGCCACGATGGAAACAGAGGATTGTTTTCAGGTTGGATTGATCGCATATCATGATAAAGATTTTGAGAGAGCCAAGGAATGGATGAAGGAAGGCTTGAGAAAATATCAACCGAATATCTACAGTGCTTATCTGTCAAGAAGGGTTTTGCAGGAGTTTATTGCTTGGTGTGAATACGAGGTGAGAGGTTAGATTATCCCTTGTGGTGTGTTATTAAATGAATTCTAATTCAAATCATTTTGTAAAACCAAGCTAGGAATTCAAGTAACTTTATTATGTAATCAATAAGCTTAACCCTAGATTCAGGGGCGTAAATTCTGAGAGGGGGTGACGCCCCCCCCCCTAATGTTTGAAAAGGAAATTTGTAGGAAAATATATTAAATATTCAATAATGTGTTAGACATTCAAATTATGTTGAAAACGAACAAGAAATCCTAAACGACCAGTTTGAGGAATTTCAATACACGTCGTTTTCGACCATCAGAATTCGGTAAAATCTTCCTTCAGAGTGCTGTGCGTTTCAGAGACTCTAAATTTCACAAATTTATGTGGGAGCATTCACCCATACCCCCTAGTGGTCTCTACTTTTGGCACTCAATACAAGTTACAGTGAAGTTACGCCCTTGTCTAAGTTAACCAAAATTTTAATTCAAAGCAAACTTCTCAACATCTTGTTAATAAATTTAGAAATATTTCTTTTGAAATCTTTTGTCTGGATCAGTAGGAATGTTCTTCTCTGAAGTTTTGAATAATACATTGAGTTACTGTTACAGGAGAAAACCTTAACCAAACCAATTTATATAAATATATATCATTCCTGTTAAAACGTTTCTTCCTGTATGTCCATTGTTTAGTGTTTTAGTGTCGCTGCTATACACAGGAGGAAACTAACTATATCGTTATTCTTCACACGTAGAAACGTACGCACAATTTGTAATGAACCTGCAGCATGCACGCTTGTACCTGAATGCCGTTTGAAAAACTTGTTACCTCGGGTCGGTACGACACCGAGGTCTTAAATTCGGCTCCTATTTTTTTTTTAATTTTTTTTTTTATTGTTTTTCATTTGTGTCGAGCCGCGCACGTAGTCGAAGATCGAAGGGCCTGCGGAGGAGATAACATCCGGTAAATAAGTGTAAGCATCGGCCAAAGCGAAACGGAACGCGAAGCTGTCCTTGCACAAAATCCATCAGAATTGTTGATTTAAAACCAGAAGATGTGATAATTTTGACATACATGTTTAGCTGGACAACTATTCTCGAGTATATGTTGATATAATGCACAATACTTCGTATGCATAGCATGGGAATACCGCGGCCAACTTTCACTTGTTATCTATTATAATTACTGACCCGAATCAAAAGTAATTATTTTCGGCTGGAAGACTACTGTACGTTGCTGCTTGTCGGGACCGTATGACAATGAACCTATCCAACGTTACACTAGACATTTGTGAGGACATGCATATAGACATAACCATAGGCACTGTAGTGCATTGTGATAGAACAGATTTCAGTTTCATTAATCGCCCTAAATTTAAATCTCCACAAGCGGAGGTCAATTATAGTGTTCTAGTTTACATATCATTAATGACAAGGTTTACTCAAATAGCGTATTGGATAAACACGGGAATAGAACTTATGGTGTACATGTATTCTGCACATGCGTATATCTAGGATAAAATCCCACAAGCGCAAACGAAACTATTTCTCTATAAAATTGAACTGAAAAGACTCACAGCGACCGTTTCCAACAGTGCTTCAGGCACCCGACGACACCGTATGGGGGGCCTTTAGCACTGTCACCTTCTCATCTTGGGATGTTCACGTTATCGCGTGTACATGTCAGGGTGACGAAGATGCATTATTGCTAATAATGTCTGTGTGCACTGATGCACGCTGCATTATTTTTAATAATGTTGTGTGCTATTTTAACGCGTACATAGAATATGACGCGTATAAACATTTACCCCTGAGCCGGAATTTCCCTATACAACCAAAAAGGCCGCTCCCGTTTTTCAGTAGAACGTTAAATGAAAACTTCTCGACATTCGCTGATATAATGCAGAGAGAAAACAATAGATTTGATGAGGGCCAGTAATTATTATCAATAGAATATTAAAACGGAGCTTTGATTAACTGATTCACCATTTATACTAGTGTACTATTAAACTATCGTGATTTACACAATTTTTGGATATTTACCAGACGATCCCCTATCCACCGACCCGAGGTTAACGCCGAGTCGGCGTCTTGTTTTCAGGATGTGTTCGCGCTGGTTGTTTCCAGCTTGTTGACAAGCCGTCAACATGTTACACAGTTGTTGGTTAACTCAACAGTTCTAGCAACGTCCTTGTAATTCAACAACTTGTTAACAGGTTTTGACTGTGAACCTTGTATAGCAGCTTGATCACAAAATTGTTACAACTTATTCCGACAAGTTTCCTACAAACCCGTTAGGAAGACACATGTATCTTGTTGAGAAGATGTGAAATTTTATTTACGTGTGTAGATAGCTCTATCAGCTTTAAACAGTCTTCTCTAAAGGTAGAGAAAGGTAGATACTGGGGCGCCATTTTCATTTAAATCTATACTATCTGTTTTAATACCTAGACATCCAAAAGATTCAACTTGCCTGAGGTATTTATACGTTCCCAAATTTAGTCCCGCGTTCCCTCCCTTTCAAAGGTCGTTTTGCCCATAAACTGGTTCTGATGAAGATGATTTTCTCTCATACGTAAATATACGTATGATAGATACCATGCCCACCAAACAACTAAAAAACAAACGTCCCATGCATTCACACCTATACTCTATTTTTGTTTTAGACTGGCAATGTTTCCGAAGCATTGACAATAACAAATGGAATATTGAAAGAAGGTAGTAGATGTAATAAGCTTAAATTTCAAAACCTTGATGAACTTGTAACTGCAGACCAGATATAGCTACTAGAGAGTGGGATAAGACGTCAGGGATAATGTTGTATAGGATAATTCATCAGGACAGCTAGGAAGGATATTATACAGATAGATGATGGGTCTTGTAGATGGAAATTATTGAGTAGAAATTTATGCACTATTTAAAACACGCGTAGGAGTGTTTTATCATATTTAAAATGTGGGCAGCACGAGCATTTTAGATATGATAAAACACGACCACAAGTGTTTTGAACAGCTTCAAACACGACTACAACTGATGCCGTCCATTAGTATTCTTTATAAAAAGAATACTAATTAGGATGAACTTTCATATAAAGAATACTAAAGAAGCTGCGTTTTATCAGGTATAAAGCCTCTTCACGTGATAGATAGATAGATAGATAGATAGATAGATAGATAGATAGATAGATAGATAGATAGATAGATAGATAGATAGATACTTTATTTAACATTCAAAAACTCATTAATAATTCATGAACCAATTAACCAATCTTGAGTAAGAAATTAGTCACGTGCATACGTCTTTATACCAGCTAAAGAACACTTTAATAAAAGACCATTGTTATGCAAACTATATAAAGATTTTTATATAAAGATTTTTATATAAAGATTTTTATATAAAGATTTTTATATAAAGATTTTTATATAAAGATTTGACTTATTATGCATACGTTTTTGAAGCCATTTAAAAAACTCGCAGGTCGTGTTTTATTAGGTCTAAAGCCACTCGCGCTGCGCGCTCGTGGCTTTAAACCTAATAAAACACTCCTGCTCGTTTTTTAAATAGTACATTATGGTTGACATGATTTGCCATGTTTGAAACACATTTATTAGACCTAAAATGCGAAAACTGCGAAAAATGCAACTACAGGTCCCCTGCCAGGAACCTGTAGTTGGTCAAATTGCCCGATTTGTGAGTGGAATCTGCCCGACTGAATACTCGGTTTGGAGGTTTAGTATAGTTATCTAAACCATTTATGCATCTGCCCTAGAACCAGATTACGAGCACGCCAAGAATAATGCCGCTTTCTTTAAACGTGTGATTAAAAATAAAGAAGTTAAACCAAAAACCAAGAAGGAAAATGCTCCATACATGAAAAGATACAGCAGTCTATGTCGTGGACAAAATAATAAGGTTGGAGAACATTTATCATTATTATTTATGTAAAATAATTCATGGTTTCTGATTGGCTAACAGCCAACTGTGAAATCATCATAGCAACTGAATGACGTCATAAAGTTGATATGACACAAACACATGAACGTTATGACGTCATAACATTGATATGAAAATATTGTATCAACGCTATGACGTCATGCTGTGAAAATACCAATACGAACTATAGAAAACACGGCCAAAACAATACGGTACCGCTTTTGGTTTAAGGAAATTTTTAAGCAAATTTTAAAATATCAAGAAAAAATATCAACGAAAAACAGCCCACATTAGTGGAACATTTTTCGAAATGTTGAAATTCACTATCATCTAAATGTAATTGTCCAACATATTTCGTGTTTTAAAATGGAAGAATTTCCTCCCATCTGTTTGCTCAACTTACGTTTTCGATTTGCCCAGCTGCCCCCTCCCCTGCCCCTGTACGCTAATGGCTGAGAAACATTTCATAAAATTAGGTATGATCTGTAGTCCAGATAGAGGACTAACGTATTAATATTTTTATTTTATAAACTAGACGGCAGTAGAGCTTGCGAAGTTGACATGTTACTACGACCAAAGCACACCACAACTGGTCATCAAACCAGCGAAAATCGAAGTTCTCAATTTGGAACCAAGGATTGTAAGATATTTCAATGTTATTACTGATGAAGAAATTGAAGCCGTAAAGTTACTTGCAGGTCCGAGGGTGAGTGCAATCCCGCGCAAAGTATAGAGCCTCGTTTCTGTGATTGAGACATTGGTTTTAAAGCCCTTTAATAACTCCTGTTACTGATGATATAATCATAAACAGATCGTTCATATTCACTGATATAACTGTACATGTATGGTTTCGTAAATATGCCACCCATAACCTATCCTAATCACGAAAACGATGCTATATAGCCGAAGACTGAGGCTATGTGCACACGGGCGTCGTTTTCGAGCGTTTTCAAAAACGTTTTTGTCCCTTTAATCGCTTTGATGCCCTGTTCACGTGGTTCAAAGGAAAATATCTCCAATATATTAAATAAACTACAGCTTCAGTCGTAAATTAATAGTTTTCGCATCCGTTTTAGCGTGAAAACGCAAATGAAAACGCTCGAAAACGTTACCGTGTGCACGTAGTCTAAGTCCTTACCGGAAGCCAGGGTCTATTAAGGAGGTTGTGTACACTATTAAGGAGGTTGTGTACGTCTTTTTACCCCACGTGGAGTCGGCCAGGAGGACTTGGCTACTCTTAGAGTAGTTAAACTAAGCTATCAATATATAACAATCCAATACAAAAACGTCTACTTTCCCTCTGCGGAACCATGGAGTAATGCAAGCTAACCTCCAACCCCAGTTGTCCGATAGACGGCAAATTATTTTATCCTAGTCGACAAATTGTTTTCCAAGTTGAAAAAATATGAATTGGATAGGAAGGGGAATATTTGAGTAAAACTGATAATTATGGCAAAAATTGGGCAAAATTAGGGAAACATTAAGCAAACTGAACGAGAAATGTTACGTGAAGAAGAAAGGTAAGGAAAATGAAGATTTTTACCTCGTTCCGCCCCCCCGGGGCAAAATATCACATGCATAAGGGGATAGTGCCGCCCTTGCCCCTAACTGGACCTCCATGGCAAGTATAAATGTAAGTCATATATAATTGTTGTTTTTAGTTACGTCGAGCAACAATCAACAACCTTGCGACAGGCAAACTGGAGTTTGCCAAATACAGAGTAAGCAAAACGTATGTAGCTGTTTGAGTACGTTTAATCTTTCCTATGGGCATGCATTTGGTAAAATTACGCATTGGCATTGCGCATCGGCATTGCGCATTGGTATTGCGCATTGGCATTGCGTATTGATGCATTGGCATTGCGCATTGCGTATTGGAAAGGAATTAACCATTGAACTACATTACTCTGTCTAACGCCAGACGATTTTACTTGTCAAGGGAAGAGTCGTATTGCGCACCAAAGGATTAAGTTGATAAAATTATGAAAAAATTATGATGAGGGAACATTGGATAAAGAATATCGCTTTCGAAATTTACAGAATATTTATTATTCGCTTGCGTGAAATTTAAGGAATATTGAATATTTGCACAAAAAATAGGGCATACGAAATATTAGGATTTGGGGCATCTCACTCGACGGAACCAACCGGTTGAAAGGAACTTGTAGTTAGAGCTCGTAACTGTCTCTCTGGGTGGCCGGACATTTTGCCGAAAGACACTTTGCCGAAAGACATTTTGCCGAAAGACATTTTGCCGAACGGACATTTTGCCGACGGACGTTTTGCCGAACGGACGTTTTGCCGAACGGACATTTTGCCGAATGGACATTTTGCCGAATGGACATTTTGCCGAACAGACAGTTTGACGAACGGACAACTTGCCGAAAATGGAGATATCTTCTGAACTTTAAAGGTTCGCTTATACGGTCAAAATATCTGTGATTTAAAGTCATTGTCGATTTTGATGACAGAAACTTTGATAGTGAAGTATAGTTTCGTTTTATATTCTTTCAAGTTTTTGACAAGTTTACCGAAATTTCGCGATATAAAGAATAACATCATTCAACATCACTCATTAATGCGATTTCCCCCAGAACTGCAGTGAATGTATTCCATGATTCTCGAAGTAAAATTCGCTTACGTCGTTGTCTTTATATACGCTTGTTTGTTTACGACTTGACGTCAAAACACGTTCCTTAACAAATGAGTCATCAAGCTACCAATAGTCAATATGGTTATGCACTATTAATGACATTATGCAATGCTAATGACCATTATGCACTGCTAATGACCATATAATGATTATTTTACACAATGGTTGAGAATTACACAGTTGAGAAATGAGTCACAGTCCCAAACATTTTGACGAAATAACATCTCTATTTTCGGCAAGTTGTCCTTTCGGCAAACTGTCCGTTCTGCAAAATGTCCGTTCGGCAAAATGTCTGTTCGGCAAAACGTCCGTTCGGCAAAACGTCCGTCGCCAAAATGTCCGTTCGGCAAAACGTCTTTCGGCAAAATGTCTTTCGGCAAAGTGTCTTTCGGCAAAATGTCCGGGTACCAGAAAGATCGTGACTCAATCTTTACGACCGCATTAAAACGTCGTGTTTATCGAGGATCATGAGAGTTGGTTAGCTGTTCTTACTGCTTTCCCAACACCCAGATGATTTTGATACGCGGAAAAGTACTGGCACTAGTTGTCAAATAGAAATCCATTTTATGATTGAAACAACTGAATATCTCCTGTAATATAGTTTATTTCGATTCCATATTTTTATCAGAGCTATAGTTCTCATAACCAAACTTAATTACAAAATTTCAACTAGTTTCATAAAAAATAACGAAAGATATAATTGACTGAATACATCAAAATGGATTTCTATTCGGACAACCCTTTCTGAGCGCTGATTAGCTAAAATACGAACACGAGATCACCTGGCCTATACATACATACAAAACTTTATTTAAACCACGCTAGCCTCAACAGCCGTTGGAAATGGCTGGTTTCCATGAGGGGCGTGAAATTACCTATTTACAAGAAATTAACTATTTACAAGAAATACAAAAATATAACAACAAAAAAATACAAGTGATTTAGATGCACGATTACACGCAAGCAAATTTCAACTCATTCTTTGTTTTAAAATCGATTTGAAAGAGCTTAAGGATTCAGTAATTTTTGCCTCATGGGGAAGATTATTCCAATGCAAGGCACCATTATAACTGAAGCACCTCTTGCCGAATTCTTTTTTCGGCATAGGTGGTGCTAAATCAGTATCCCTATTTCTAAGATTGTATGTATTATGTCTTTCATTATTAAATTGAAATGCTTCTTTAATACTGGATGCGGTGTGGCCATTCAGAATTTTATAGATGAAAATAGATTTAAGAATAATTTCGTCTTTCTTCGAGAGGTTTGCAATTTAGATTATCGAGTAACTCAGATGATCGAATATCGTAAGTTGCCCCAGTAATTACTCTTGCAGCACGATTTTGGTATTTTTGCAACCTATCTTTGAGCCCAATTCCGCAATTACTATCAGGTATTCTATTTTAAAACATAGTTGGAACACTCATCAAACCAAGTCAAACCGGGACCATTTCGTTTCGGTCATAGTATTATTTATAATAGATGTTTACATGAGAACCGGGACGAAAATAACTGAGACCAGTCTCAAGTGTCATTCCGCCTGCTGGACCGAGCCGACTGACTTCAGACCGGCATAAATTCAGACTGGGATGAATGTAAACACAAACACATTTCAGACCGGTCTCGGCTGTAACCTTGACATTGGAACAACACATGCTAACAAAAGCCATCTAAAAAAGAAAATTGCCTGGCAAGGGGAATAAATTGAAAATGTAGTTGTGATTTTCGTACCGGTCTCATGTAAATGGGGGCCTAAAACTTTGTTAATCTAGAGCTTGAAATGTCCCCGTAACAATGCGTGCCTTCCAACTCTCATAGTTCTCGTTTTACTGGGTGCAAATACGGCTACAGGTAAGCCATTATTTCGAGCCTAGCTGTCACAAGCGTCAGGATGTCGCTAAAATGAGACTCGAGCCAAGAATGTGACACCGTGACAGTAAAATGGACATGCAATATCTCGTGTCAAGGGCATAACGACTACCTACAACACATGTCAAACAATCACGCGAGATCGAAAGATAACTGTAATTGACTTATATTTTTTTTAACTTGGAAACCGCAAGATACGATGCATAGATAGGGCTAATGGCTGCTATTTGACTTGTATCATTAGCAACATTAAATTTATTTAAATGTTGCTAATGGTATATAAGCCAAATAACAGAATGAATAAAAGAACAGTTTAGTTTTGTGTATATGATTTAATCGTTAATGTGATTTGTTAAGGTAATTAGCACTTAGATAACATTTAGAAGGATTTAAACCGTTTTCCGTGCGTTGGGTTGCTTAAATCTTAACCCTCAAACTCTAAGCGTACAAAGCATAATGAGAGCATGCATCATTTAATCAGTTTAGAAAGCATGGGGTCCATAAAGACATGGTAAATATCTCCTTACGAGAACAATGCATTCAGAAATAGCTGCAATATTCAACTACTAAGCTTGAAACTTGTTCTCCCATTAAGCTTTGCGCGCTTAGATTTAAGGTGGTTTCGAATTGGCTGTACACACGTATGGCAGACCGCAAAGCACAAGTAGCACTTGAATTTCGGCTTATAAAAGCTGATAATCCTCAAATATAACTTAGATTTAAAGATAAAAGATATACCAAACAAGCTAAACCATGAAAACGTGAGTTAATTCGCTCTCAAAGAGATGAAAGCTTGCGGAAAATGACTTACGGGAACAATTGCCCCAATCGTCAAAAACGTGTAAAATATACGGCAAACGCAACCGCTAGACACAGTCACGTGGTTCCCGAGCGAAAAAACGTAAAATCTAAATGCCTCTACTGTCTCTAAATGATCTGGAAAGCAGCCAATTAGCTTTCGGAAATTGCCGGTAGCCGGTCCCTATTTCAAACCCTAATAAATACCACATCGTGAGAGGCGATGAGAGTATTAAAGAAACCATGACAATTTCAGTCCAAAACAGAACACGAATGCAATATTCTATGAATTCTAGCACATACCTCCTTAACAAAACATGCAGGCAATATTTCTTCAGACATAGCTTAAGGTCCATTTAATGCACTACACAAGTTTTGCCCAAAACTATCGCATGCAACCTGTTTACAACTTGAGTTGGATCTTCATTAAATCAAGCACATGCACAACTCATCTACGACAACATATAGACGAGTTGCATACTTGATTTACACAGACACAGTGCAACTCAAGTTGTAAGCAGGTTGTATGCGACAGTTTTAGGCGAAATTTGTGTAGTGTGATTCGACCTTTGTACGATTACACTATACCCCGGATAGCTGGCGCGAAAAAGCACCTGTTCTGGATACGAAATGTACAACTTTCAGAAGCTGAGCGAAACAACATCTCTCCGTTGCAATAATTCCTGTGAAAATAGTGTTCCTATAGGTACGGATATGTGTTTTTTTCACGTCTCTACGGAAAGCGATCTGGTAGGCCTACAAGTTAGCTTTAATATATAGGTATTGTCGGGACTCCACAGACTAGAGTGATTTCTTGTCGATGGCAATTTGTTATTGACAACTTTAACTTTCGACTACTAAATTGGCGCGATAGCTACTCCACACACACACTAGAAAAACGCCTTTGTCGACAATATTGATTTGGAAACTAAAAGTCAAGCTTCTCTTCGAAAAGAGGAAACTGTTTTGTTGTCTACTAAAAATTTAACAAACTTTTGTCGATAACTTTTATCACACGCCTGATTTTTAGTCGTGGACAACATTTTGTCGTCGACAACAACAAAGTTGTCGACAAGTATTTCGCTAGTCTGTGGAGGCCCATGCAGCGAAATTACTTAAGCGTAGCATTTATATATATGCATGGCCTTGGCAACACTTCTCGCTTCCTTTTCAAGTCTGTCAATGTGCCCTAGAGTCCGTCTATTTTTTAATTTTGTACAGAAACTTCCTTCAAAAGCGGAGGATGCACTGGCCAGCTCTTGAGCCAGGAAATATGCTCGTTACTTTGCAGGAGCCTATTTTTAGGCGCAGTGTTCGTTGAAAGGCCCTGAACAATCTCATGAAAGAACTTGCCAATTAGGGAAACTTGTGCGCATGTATGAAATATGCAATTCATGTTTTATACACCGAGAGATTCCAAGATTCTCGAAAACTATATCTCCATTTCTGCTGAAGAATAGTCGAGATTGAGAAAAGAACCAATATATTCTTTTTGTGCAAGTATTGTAGACATGCATGATTCTTTCAGACCACAATTAATGTTCACATCTTTTATATAAACTCTCCGCTTTTTCATTCGTAATCAATTAGCAAATGTACAAAGACAAAGAGAGATGAAAGATATAAAAAATCCCATAATCGGAAATAGGAAATTTGCATACGAAGTTTAATTTAAACCATACCACCATTTAAAATCTCAAACCCCAAAAGAAGTATGCGTTCCAACGTGCGAAAAGGTCGTTTGGATCTAGTATGGTCACTCTACTTCAATTTCATTTTAAAGTACACGTTTACAATTGCAATTTGTCCACGGGCCTATTTAAGATTTTGCTGAATGTTAGAACGGCGAATATGTGCCTTTATGTTAGCGAATATTTTTCAATTAAAATAGATCCAAAATAATTAGTCTGACAAATTGCTATACATGCATGTATTAAATGTTACATCAGTCCTTTTTATAACTGACAATGAAGAGGGATGTTATCGTTGCCGCGGCCGTTGCGAAAAGTAGAACCTGATTCTACTTTGTCTTTGTGCAATGCTTATTGGAACAGAAAAGTTGTGAGACTTGATGATTGCGAGGTATGTTTATACACCTTGCAATTTTGCGTGTAATTTGTGTCGTAACAAAATTGCGAGACAAGTTGCATTGTGTAACAGCGCCTTCATCCCAAATGTTTGCATACAAATCGACTTTATTCTTTAGAACACATTCAAGTTTCGCAATGGCTCTAGAAAAACATCGCTTTTAACGACGAACACGTTAAAGAGTATATGCTAATAAAAACAAAATTATGTAAACAATCACTCACGTTAATTCAGCTCAATTTTCGCTCCGATGAAAGCAACTTCAACATAGACCATCCACTCAGTACTTTTGTATCGCAATTTCGTTCTACAAAAGAGCATGTTATTATTGATATTACCCTGGATGGCGGTAATTATAATGTTGCAAAATTAACACGTACAACGTCGTCATCAGCACATTGCTAATATGACGCAAATAATAACTATAAAATGTTACTGTATAGACAAGCTGATACCTTGTGTTTAATGTATCACTTAAATTCGTACGAAATATAATACATTAATAACGTTTTGTCAGTTTCGTTTAAAATACTGCAGCTCAAAAGCATTCCAATTTTACAAACGGAGACAGCCAACTATTCGATCGTATATACCAGCGATTTAACATCTATTTAACCAGAATGTAAACACGATTTAAACCAAAAATTCGTACATTGCAAAAAGCTTGAGTAAAAAACATACCACTTTGAGTTAACATTCCTGTTTTTTCGGAGTATATGCGCGAATCATAGCGTGTACGTTTACAAAAATGGCTAGATATATACACTGGGTATACTAATATTTATAAACTTGCTTTTATAAACAAAATTACTCGAGCGATCAAACCATGTATACATTTAAAAACTTGTACAAACAAATGCTCATTTGAATAGAAAATTCTCGAATTGAAATCGGTTCGTATAATGTAACATTACTGACCTTTCGCTCGACGAGATGTACCTCCTTTTCAAAACCCTTTCTTTATAGTTGCAAAAGCAAGACAAAATCTTTAGCATATCTTAAATGCTTATTCCACATGAGCGACTTCTAAACATGCTAAAAATACCTCATTCACAAGCATTAGCAGCGATTAGAGCTACACAATAGAATGAATGAATTCGATTTCAATAGCCGAAGCAGTTCTGGCGCCCCTAGTGGTCTGTTATCCGGCCAAAAGCCGAAAGTAGATGGACGTAAGGAGCAATTTGTAGTGTTTAGGTGATAAATGCTCCACTGCATGGGAGCACAATATAAAGCATTTAGGCATTTCCTGCGTTTTTCCTGAGTGTATAAGAAGGACAATATCAAAGTACACGTTCAGTAAAAGAGAACTAGTTTAGGAAAATTACACAAGGAAATTTTCTCCAGCTAAATTTTCTTTGTATTTAACAAAACACCTACAGCCATACAAGGTTTATCGCCCACTCGAAAGGCGGCTAGAAGCCAGTGTTTTGTAGATAAACAACTAGATAAAGCCTGCACAAACGAACAAAGATTTCATTTACATAAGAAGGTACTGATAAACCCTGCAGAAATCAAAGCGGTGGTTCATTATACTTTTTGCTGGAGGGTTATTCCTCCTATATTTCCCATCGGTCGTCGCTATCTGGACTTCATCACTGATGTGAAATCGTCATGAAAGTCTATGCTAGTATATAGTATCAATAATAAGCTTTGGAGTGATACAATGGATACAACTATAACCAGAACTATACAAGCCAAGAAGAACGTCGAAGTTCTCCTTGTATTTTTCAGGTAGTTGTATCCCTATCAATCCGAAATAGTCATGATCAATTAGTTAGCAATTGAAAGCCAAGCTTTTAACGGGGTTTCCCGCCATAGGTAACCTTGTACCTACTTAGAGGCTATTAACTTCCTTAGGGTTTGTGGTGGTAAAGTAAATAATTGAACACATAAGCTTCGCGTTTTCATTTAGTCGTGATGGTATAACGAGTATGTCAAAGTAGCTGATAAAATAGAGTGTCGATGTGGTCTGCAATTAGTGAAGACTGATTTGCATATATTACGCACAAACAGCAATCCAGACTTGCACCACTCGTGACCTGGTTACGGCACAAAATTGAAACAGGCTAATATTACCAGAGAGTTAAACCTAGTTTAATTTGGCCTCTCACTTTCGTGACATGGTCCGGCGCCAAATGCAGGGTTCGTAGTCTCCAAGACCAAAAAAATTCAAAGACTTTCAAAGATTTTTTCTGCTAATTTTCAAAGACTTTTCAAAGACCTTTGAGGGCAATTAGCTGTCGAAAAATTGCGAGTGTGAACACCATTTTTATCCAGTAATTAGTCCCGTCAAATCACATCCTAAAATCCGCCTTTTCGTCGATATTTGCGAAAATCGTGCTTCAATCAATTTATTTTATTAGCTAGGAAATCGTATAATCAAATACTCACTGAAGAATTTAAAGACTTTTAAAGACTTTCTTCGCTTTTTCACACAATTCAAAGACTTTTCAAAGACCTTAAAGACCTGCATTCAAATTTAATTTTTAAAGACTTTCAAGGATTTCAAAGACCGCTACGAACCCTGAAATGTGAAACAGTTTAAATCTACAAATCAGGGCAATTCGGACACCTCACAAAGATATGCATAGATTGTTCTCTTTCCAAGAATTGTTAAATTCCAGAAGAGTATGAAGCCTGCATGGTTTAAATCTGGCTGTTCAATTTTAACCAGAATGGGATGAACATTTAACCCTAAGGGTGGTTTCAGATAACATCGCGCATATTAACATAATTGAAATACCGGTAATTGAACATTTTCTTGCATGCAAGGAGTTCTTTTACTGAACGAGATGAAAGCACTCTCCTCCACAAAGAAGTTATAGGCAACTTTGCCAAAATTTACTATGCCAAGTATACTTGCTCAGAAGTATTCTAGCTTTTGAACAAGTATACTGGTCATAGAAAAATTGACAAAGTACAAATTTTGCGCGTCTGTATGGCCTGGTCAACGAAGAAAATTTGGCAAAGTAATAGACCTTTCCCCTTATGAGTGAAATTTTGATCTAGACAAGCCTGGACAAAAATTTCATCACAGCTTGAAAGAGCATCACAAAATTAGTAATATTCCGAAGTTTCGTTGCGAAATGTTGTAAAATGCGGATAATACAGCCTTGCGAAGTTTGCCGTTTTTCAGTCATTTTGTATTACAAATGGGAAATTGATAATCAATTTGATCATCTGATTATCAATTTCCCGTAATACAAAATGACTGAAAAACGGCAAACTTCGCAGGGCTATATTATCCGCATTTTACAACATTTCGCAACGAAACTTCGGAATATTACTAATTTTGTGATTCTCTTTCAAGCTGTGATGAAATTTTTGTCCAGACTTGTCTAGATCAAAATTTCACTCAAAAGGGGAAAGATCTATTTGACTAATTTGAGCACTTGAAACGATCTATTGTTGTAATAGCTTCAATAATAGCTATCGTCAGTATCGTAGTGGTCAGAAAACCAAGAATTTGTCATAAAACGTTTTTAGAACATACCCGGTGGCGCAAAAAATTGTTCCCCCTCTTCGACTCGTTGTAATTAAAAAACTGAAAAATCTACCTTATACAAATAAAATTTATTGGACATAGTTATGTCTAACTTAAATTTTGATGTATGCCGTGCACATTTCTATAAAATATTAGCCGAGATATAGGCGTTTACACTCAAGGTAGCGTTTTTGGAAGAAACGAAAAATGGTCTAAAATGGTCTATTAATTTGCATTATGGTAATAAAATGGCGGCCATTTTTCGCTTCTTTCAAAAATGTTACCTTGAGTTTAAACGCCCATATCTCGGCTAATATTCTATAGAAATGTTTAAGGCATACATCAAAATTTAAGTTCGACATTACTGCCTTCAATAAACTTTATTTGAATAAGATGGCGTCGTTAGTTTTTTAATTACAATAAGTCAACGAGGGGGTACATTTTTTTGTGCCACCCGGTAGAAAAGTTGTCATAGAAGACGTGCTTGTCTTTAACTGGCTTAAATAAACTGACATAAAGGGAGGGAGACGAAGGCTCTCACAGCGAGTTCATTTATTCGAGGACTTAACTAGAAAAGGGCTTAATATGGAAAAATGCGGAAGTGTCTTAAGGGGTCAATATTGTGGGGGTTAAATATTCACTTTAAATTTCATATGAATGGCTGAAGAACAACATAAAAGGAAAAGTAATTTCCTGAGTTCATCCTGTGTTTACATTTTCAGTAATGTAAAGAGACGTCCTGACGGAAATTTTTCAGCAGATTAAATGTCTCCCGTATAATCCGATTTTATCCTGCTCGCGCCATGGCCGTTCAGAGCAAAGACTGATTTTCTGGGCGTACAGGAGGTGTGCACCCCCACCCAAATATCCCCCCCCCCCAGGAAGTGTTCCCACCCAATGCACATAGAGAAATTTGCATCACCCCAAAAATTTAAATGCTCGTTGGATTAAATGATAGTAATATGATTGAAATAATGGTTTTGAACTAAACAAGACTAACTAAAAACAAGGATTTTGAATTAAATAAGACCAAAAAATCTTAAAATTTCCAACCCTGTCAAACCCTGTCGGTCCCCACTGGCGACTGTGCCCCCAGACCCCCTGCTGCTTGCTCGGCAGCGCTACGCACCCCCTCGCTCACCTCCCCCCCCCCCGAATTTTGGCTCCCCTCGGAGCAAAATCTGTCTATGGTTCAGGGGGCGGGTAAATTAGCACATGGGGCTCAGTCCAATTTAAACTTTTAATTTTATCTACTTTTTAGATAATTGCCTGGCGAAACAGAAACGGATATTATGAAGAAATCACGCACTGTGGTAAGCTTAGGAATCCTTAGGAATCCTAAATCTATCCCATGCACAATAATATCTACTAAATATTTTCCTTCAAATTTAATGTATGTCGGCGACCTACAGTTTCGATAAAATATAAAACTAAGTGTGTTACGAAAAATGTTGCTCACTCGAATTTTACATTACATGATGTACTTCCCTCTCGCATCCAAGAAAATACTGACAATGAACTGGTCATCCATAACATCGCCATTATCCGTGAGTCTCTCCTTCCTTTCCAGCGACCTTAGCAAGAGGAAATTAAAGATGTTGGGTTCCATCAAAGAGAATCTCGCGGTAACAAGTCTTATTTTGCAAGTCCATGTCAAGTCACAAATTATTTCTCGCGAATTCAAGTCAAGTCGAGTCACAGGTTCTTTTGTCTGTGACTAAAGCCCGTTCTCCACTAGGCGAATTTATTCGCGCGAACAGATAAAAAGTAGGAAGCGATCCTACTTTTTCGCCGCGAATTTTTTCGCCGACCAATCACGTTGCCGGATTTCGGTTTTCGCTTCGCGTCGCGCGAACAAATTCGCGTAGTGGAGAACGGGCTTAAGTCAATAGACAATTCCCATTATAGACTAATTTTATAACTAGACAAGGGTATGCAAATAAATCATCACAGCTAGAAAGGGCATACTAAAATGAGCAAAATTGCAAAGTTTGGTTGCGAAATGTTGTAAAATGCGGAAAATATAGCCTTGCAAAGTTCGCAAATTTTCTATACTTTTGTATTGCGTGCGGGAATTGCTATACCACATTTGGGCCGAAAACGGTGGCGATTTCCGCACGCAATACAAAAGTGTAGAAAATTTGCAAACTTTGCAAGGCTGTATTTTCCGCATTTTACAACATTTCGCAACCAAACTTTGCAATTTACTCATTTTAGTATGTTCTTTCCAGCTGTGGTGATTTATTTACATCTCCTTGCCTAGTTTTAAAATTAGTCCATAATGGGAATTGTCTATTTAGTCACAAGTCATTTAGACCAAGTCAAGTTACTTCTTGCAAGAGTCCAAGTCAAGTCACAAGTTATTCTGCACAGTTCTTTTTACAATGAACTGGGGAGTCACAATTATATATCAATATACAATCCATGACAAGCTCACAGTCATACAGCGCGATACGCCAACCTGGCTGCACAATTGCATCGACGGATTTGCAAGTTGTAGAAAAGTCAATTTCACTATAGATATTTACGACTTTACGGTAACAAGTCATTTCTTGCAAGTTCGAATCAAGTCACAAGTCGTTAATCTGATCAACAAGTCAAGTCACAAGTCACAAAAATTACCACTCAAGTCGAATGGATCAATAAGCAATAGCTCTTTAAATACTGTACGATAGGGTAAACAGTTCAAAACTGACGTCTCCAGCTAGTATACAGTTAGTTTAAATTCATATATTCTCACCCTTTTAAAATCGCTCATATTGGTCGCTGCTACTGTTGTACCAATGAAAGAAAGTGAATTGATTATCGTCGTCTCCTCGCCGCCTTGGTTGTCTTTTATAAAAAGCTAGTTGAAAATTAAATTGTATATATTAACCATTTATGTAAAGTGTCTCAATCCCTGGCTCATGGCTGGCGTCCGCCATACTCACCGTAACGGATTGCACATATTGAAATTTCACAAATTTCAAGGGAATTAGGACATCTTCAGCAACATTTTCTGCAGTAAGACTAAAAAAAATTGAATCAATAAATCGCAGATCATTGGTACCGTACCACAAATTAATTAAACTTGACGGATGTTTGTGATGTTACTCTGAGTGTATATCCACACCGGGCAAGCTTGAAAAATATGCCTGGCCACGATGGGAATCGAACCTACGACCTTTGGAATACTAGCCCAATGCTCTGCCAACTGAGCTACGCGGTCAGGTCGGTTCAAGTATGTTAATTCAACTTAATTTATGAATTAAATCAAACTTCATTTCACGAAGTTTTACCTTAATTCCTGCACTGCAGTCGTTTTTTCAGCTTCATCAAATCCAAGCGTTCTCGTCAGATTACAAAATAACCTGACAGTTTTTGGTGCGGTTCCTGTACATAAAGATTTTGTACCTTAGTATGTACGCGAAGGATGGAAGAACATCAGAAAGAACATTAATTTTATGTACTATTTTTTTTCATTGGC